ATTCATTTGAAAGGCCTTTATTTATAACACAAGAATACAATATCATATAAAACAAAAAAGTGAACACCACAATCCATTGATAATCATCATTTCTAAAATAATAATCATATGAATCCATTTTTAAGAATTATGTTCCACAAAAAATATACATCAAAACTTATTATTTTCTCTAAAGAGCATGTGGTTGTCCTCGGAGTTTATAAAACGAATGAAAACATAAAATTGGACAAGCTACTTTTTTAGGGAATAATAACCTTATCAAAACAATCGCAATCCAGTAGACAAACTATAAGATTGGGAGTAGCAAGAACAACGATGAAATAACGAAGTGGACATTTGATATTTAATAATAATAAAAGATTCATTGTTGATTAGACACAAAAGAACTACACACGCATGCAAGATTTCAAAGCACAGGGCTCCAGAGAATGATGCATTGTTTGGAAAACTAGACTAAAAACAAATATTAACAATAAATAACTATGGTTAACACAAATTAATGAAGTGATAATTACACCTAAAAGCATCCAAGCTACTCTTTAAACATCAATTTATAAAATATATCATATACAACACCCTAAAATTTTAATTTTTCAAAATCAACAATGCTAAAAATAGTACGAAATAATAGAAACATTCTATTGTCAAGAGATACATAGGTTAGTGTCATGAAACCCTTTAAATAGAATAAAACTTGTTTACTGTAACAACCGCTCCCCACCGACTGAAGCCCCAAACGACACAACAGCCTCTGTCGGTCCCACGTCACGATCCAAAACGAAGCAATTGTTCGATCAAAAATTGCAAGCCGCCTCACTCACGACATAAATCCCTCTCATTCGGTTCATTCAGGCATACACACGCACCCTCAGGCTCTTAGAACCGAAGAGAACAAAAAAAAGAGAGGATTCGGGACTTACCTCCAGCAGGCGATATCTCACTCGATCTCTATATCGGCTTCAGTCGAAGACCCTCCTGCCTCCGTCGAGCAAGCCGAGCCTCCTCGTCTGCGTCCAATCCTTCATCTCGCATGCAAGGTCCAACCTCCTCCCGCCGATCCTAGCCTCCTGTCAGCACAAGCCTGGCTTCCAAACCTCTTCATCCCGCCGGCGACTCAACCACCCGACTCCAGGCCGCCGACCAGACCGCCGCCCCTTCGGTTCGCCGACCTCGTGCGTGGCTTCTGCTTCTAGCCGACGGCCTCTCTGCCCTAGCGCGATAATGGGCTTCCTCCCTCTCTCTATATTATATAATATAAGTTATATATATTATTTAAAATATATATAATGTTAAGATATATATATATATATAAGATTTCATATGTAATAAAAAAAAAAGAGAGATGGAGAGAAATGAGAGAATTTTCAAAAAAAAAAAAAAGGTGC